CGAGCGTCCCGGAGTTGGCAGAACAGTCCTCTCTGGCGTATGTTCACCCGCAGCTTCACCTGGGAAGCAGAGAGAAATCACATGCAGAGTTAAGAACTGTGCCCAGGTTCTAAGGTAATGAGATGCAGCCCAAACATTCCCCAGGGAAGCCTTGCATCTGCCTGTCGTGCTTCTCTGTCCCTCAGGGGTGACTGCAGGCGTGTGTGGCTCCGGGAGGGCAGGTAGGCATGGAGGTACGTGCGCAGGCATGCTTGTGTCCAGAGGCCTCAGCAAATGAACACGCATGCCGTCTGCACAAATCTCTACTTCAATCACGGCCACCCAATGGGGGCAGACCTTCAAAAGACAATATATGAACTTTGAGCCCTAGGTGCTGCTGAAACAGTCCATGAACTCCATCTCTTACACTCACTCCTGAACCTGGCCCACCACTAACTCTTGGTGCACCTTCTTCTTGGCCATAAATGTGATGTCAGCTTGTACACCGGGGCCCTGCGAGCTTTCGGAGGTCAACTGCACTTGATGGAAAACTTGCAACCAACCCAACAAGGTAACCACCAACAGAAAGGTTGGCAACATGGGGACACACACCGGCGACAGGGCAGTGGCAGCCCATCTTAAATGCCAAGTTGCCATGAGTCCAGGCCAGGCGACTGCTCCTGCTAACTAATCCTGAAGGGGCTGGGTGGGCCAGCAAGACGCCAGAGGAGAAATGGCGCATTCATCGATCGCGACAAAGAGTCATACCAGCCGCAGTTGGGGCACATTCCCATCCAAGCAGCGTGCGTCTAAACCAATGCAATTCAAGGCGCTGAGCTCTGATAAAAAGTTTAAACACTGGGCTGCCATGTCCGAAGTGGCATCCTCACGTTCCGCACGGACTGTCGGCCAACAGGCAGCCTCCCAAGCTACATCCACGTGCGCTGTGGTGACCGACTGGGAGGCTGGCCACCAACGGTTTCCATGTGGCATGAACAGAACTCAAGCACTTTACCCGTAAAGACCAAAGGAAGAATGGAAACAGGATACGCCTCCCACACGAGGAAATGGGGGTGTTTTCCAAGGCGGACCTCTACCCGCGGCACTGAACCAGGGGTCACACCGCTCCCAGTCCCCCCCTCATCCAGGCCCTTCCCATAATCCGTCTCAACATCTCTGAACAAAACGGGAGCCGCCAGGACCAGGAGAACCGAACACTCCTGAGTTACCACCTTGATCTTAAAAATTCTGAGCTCAGAGGCCATGAATCAAAGACAGTGGGGGTGGTCTCGGGACTGTAAACCTCTTCAAGACAATAGGAAAGGCACTGGGGGGCGACACTGCCCAGGAGGGGCAACTCTGAGCAGCCACGGGCAGCTGGCACCGAGCCGTTCACACAGCCGGGAAGCCTTCTGGGACAGGCACAGATCGGCAACAGAAGCCAGGAGCAAAGGCTTCGCTGTAGGCCAATGAGCTCTGTGGAAACAACGCGAGACAGCGCATCCGAGGGGAGCTCACGGGACCAGCCTGCCGCCTGCCCCACTTCCTGTCTTGTCCCGGGGCTCGGCCAGCGGAGCACTTTCACTTCAGCGTGAAGGCCAGAGCAGAGTCAATGGTGGCCACCATGCATGTGGACTGACTGAGGAACGGAGCCCCGTGACCTGCCAGCTACTCCCCATGTCCCCACCGCCAGCTCAACTGCAGTCAATCTGCCTCGGCAAGATAAGAGGTGACAACAGGTTCTCAACGTGCTGGGCCTGAGGCTCTAGTCAGAAACCAAGAGGAATTCTGATTTTCGACTCTGAGAAAAAGGACCTCCAATGCCTACTTTGAAACCACGAAATGTGGTTGAGATGTATCCACACCATGTGTCCACTGGGCGCCCACCATCCTGAACGCTTAGATTATAAATTTAGAAAATATGCTCGTCAAAATGAAAAAGCCATGCATTCAACCAACGCAATGGAAGTAATGAAATTAAGACAGGAGGTTCCCTAACGCTGAGGCCCTGCGTGGAGCAAATTCTGGAATGCCACAGGGATGTATGGACAAGCCACCACTCTAGAGGGGCTATTAAATAGTAAATAGAAGAACAAAACTTGGGGCAGAGGAAATCTCACCTTCCTGAGGGATCCACCTGCACGGTGCTCACCCATGGACACACTCCCTCCAGGACTCCCGAGCGCCTCTGGTCATCAGAGCAAAGGCAGGTCGTCTCTTCATGGCTGACGGCAAGCTTCCACGGCCACCCCACCTGGGAAGTGTAGAGAAGTCACAACATGCACATCTGAGCAACACACTCAGAAACTAACACAATGAAAATACAACAGAGTGACTGCAGGTTCTGAAACGCTCATGTCCTGCGTGGAGCGTGCATGCGTGTGACCACGGGGCCGCTGTCCCTCGCCCCTGTCTGCCCTGGGCCCCCCACGTGCTGGACCTCAGATCCGATGAGAACGACGACGGTTGGAGTTCTCACTCATTTTGTTCAGCTTTTCCAAGGAATGCACTGTGAGGGGGTCATCATCGATCCGAGCACGCTCTGGGGCGCTGTGGAACTGACCAGGGCAGGCTGGGCCATCACTGGGTGAGCCCAAGATCTGAGGCCCCCACCGCAGTGGAGAATGAAGGTCCAGGCCCCTGAGCAAGAGGGACAGCCCATCCACTCCTGGAGGGAAACCACGGGGCACACATGCACAGGATATCTCTAGCAGGGCTATTACATCTAAAGTGATGGCCACAAACTACAACAGAGGGAACCTTACCTTCCTGAGGGATCCACACGCCTGGTGCACCCAGGGTCCCACTCCCTCCAGGATGCCTAAGCACCTCCCGTCACCAAAGGGCAGGTTGTCTCTTCAGAGCTGACAGCGAGCCTGGCACAGCCCCTCCACCTGGGAAGTGTAGAGAGATACATGCACATTTGAGATCCTCACCCAGATTCTCAGGTAACAGGATCCCTGCCAATGTTTCCCCCAGGTATGCCTTGCCCCTCTGTCACGCACCTCTGTCCCTGAGGAGTGGCTGCAGGCCTGTGTGACACCATGTGGTAGGCAGGTAAGCAGGGGTGTGTGCGTGTGGTCCTGACAGAGGACTTGGCTTCTGAACAAGCAGCGCCTGGGCCCGGGTCCCTAACTTCACGCCCTGCACCCTAAAAAGGTGGACATGGCCTCAAAATAAAAGCTGCAAATTCTGACCTTGTGCACCTTCTAAAACATTGAGAGACGCCTTCTCTCACAGCCTCTCCTGCTGAAAACAACTGCACCAGCTCCACATACACCTCTTCCTCACTGTGGCTGTGATGTCACCTTCCACTCTGTGTCCCAACAAGCTGTCATAGGTAAGCTGCACTTGACAAGACACCAGCAACCACTGAAGTCACAAAAGGCCCCAAAAGGTAGCACCAGTGGCACCCTGGCTATAGGCAGAAGTGTCCCACTTTAATCTGAGGCAGAACTAAACGACTCCAGCCTCACGAGTCTTTGAGCTGAGTAAGATTAACCGTCCTCACGGGCCACTGGGGAGACTCACGAACGGTTCCTACTCACACACCATGACCCGGGGTAACAGTGAACTGAAACCAGGGCCTCGTGCCCCTCCCAGCGACTGGGAGCATCCCCATCCATGGAGAGTCAAGGTCCTGACCTCCAGGGAAATATCCCAAAACTCAGCTGCCTTGACTGAGGAAGCATCCTCATGCCTAAAAGAAATTCCCCCAGAAAAGTAACTGCAGTCACTACCCCTACTAGGGTGCGCCGCGCCCCGGGGAGCCCAGCCATAGAAGATTTCTATTTTGCCTGAGTCGACAACCCGGGATTCAACGAATGACCGCACCCTGGGCAGGAAATACCACAGAGAACCTCACAGAGCTCCAAGACTCTGTTCACCAAGACAAGGACACCAGTTTAAAGAGGAGGCGCCCTCCACCAGGCGTCCTCAGTCCTGGGCAGGGCACTGGCCACGCCAACCCTCACGGTTCCAACCATGTCCACTGGCTTCCGGGAAACCATGACCCATGGGACAAAGGTACGAGACACCTGCGCCAGGAAAGCCGGACCAGCTGGGAGAACAATTTTGACCTTAGAACTATGGAGTGAAGGGTCAAAGACAGTGTCCACCTAAGCAATCTGACCCCGGGTGGGCCGGACAGATGGCATGGGACACAGGACGCCCCGAAGGCACTAAGAGGCAAACAGGTGACACCCCCACTGTCTGAAATGGAGATGCCAAGTGGACAACGAGCAAACACCAGAGGACCACACACTAGAGCCCTGGAACTACCCACAGGTACCCATCGGCTGCCCCACCTGGTCCTGGAGAAGTGGAGAGGAAGCACAGGACTGCCACTGGGAAACCCAGACACGGTGCGTCCCACAGGGGCCTACGGGGTCACTCTGAGACTCACCCTCCCCGCAGCCTTCCCTTCCCGCCCAGGCCATCGGCCCCCACGAGGTCTGCACCTCAGCCTGGAACACGGCGCCGTCCGAGGCTGCTCACCACACATGTGGGCTGGGGGACAGTGTTCCCGGTCGGATCTTCCGATGGACGCACCAGGGCCCACTAACAGCAATTTGCCCCCAACACCGTGGGGAACTCAAAATCCTTCAACAGGGCAAAAGGCAAGAACAGGTATCGCTCCCTGGCGGGCCTGGGGCTCTAATTAGAAGCCATGAGGGCTTTGGTCTCCACTGGGCCACCAAATCACAGGCTACTATGGGCTACGTGTGAAGAGGGAACATGGTCAACACAGATCCATGTCATGAGCTCTCCTGGCCTAGAACACCACCACACCTCCAACCCATAGGGACTGGTTTGCGGGAGGACCAACAGCCAACAAAAACTGGGCGTTCGAATCAGAACTTCCAATTCCTGGACACCCAACGACAGAGGGGAAGCCACTGACCCTCAGACAGAGCACACTGAATCGCTGAGGCCCTGAGGGGATCGTGCATGAGTATGACCGAAGGGAAGCTGTCCCTCTGTCTGGCCTGCTTGCTCAAGAAACCCTAAGCAAATGTGCTGAACCTCAGATCCGATGAGAATGACGATTGGAGTTCTCACTCATTTTGTTCAGCTTCCAAGGATTGCATTTTTGAGGGGGTCATCTTCAATCCGAGCTTGCTCTTGGACTCAAGACGTTTGGGTACAGCAGCCTGGGTGGGTCACCCAGTGAGCTAATGACCACACTGTCTTCCAGCAGCCTGGAGCATCCAGATCCCAGCCACTGAGCAAGAGGAACAGTCCATGCACTCTTGCTGAAAAACCCGAATTTCACTGAGGCCACGTGCAGACGCATTACGTTCCTCAGCGATCCACGGGCACAGAGCACACCCAGGGCCACACTCCCTCGAGGACACCCGCACAGCTCCGGCCATCAAAGGAAAGGCAGGTCATCTCTCCATGGCTGACAGTAACCCTCCACCTGAGAAGTGTAGAGAGATACATGCGCATTTGAGACACTCACCCAGGTTCTCAGGTAACAAGATCCCTGCCAACCTTCCCCCCAGGTACGCCTTAGCTCTGTCTGTCATGCAGCTCTGTCCCTTAGGAGTGGCTGCGGGCGTGTGTGACACCATGAGGTGGGCACGTATGCAGGGGTGTGTGCGTGCGTCCTGACAGAGGACACAGCTCCTGAACAAGCACGGCCTGGGCCCAGATACTGAAAACCACGCCCTGCTTCCCAAAATGGAAGATGGGGTCTTCAAAAAACAAGAGAAAACTCTTGACCTCTAGAGGTTTCTAAACTAGCCCGCAGACTCCACCTTTCCCATGGGCCTCTTCTGTACATGTCACACTCTCTGGTGCGCACCCTCTATCGCTCTGGATGCGACGTCACTATGGACACCTTTTCCAGGAAGCTGCCCTGAAAGAAACAAGCGGCCTCGGAAACTACAAAACCACCCACATGCTGGTCATAGCAATGCTATCCTGGTGCACAAAGACTGTTAATTCTACGTGGCCAAAGGAGTTCAGGTTAGGACAAGCTTTGAGCTTATTAAGTCTCACTATCCACACGAAGCAGTAGGGTATCAGACAAAAATGGTTCCTTCTCACCATGACCCAGGGTAACACCCAACCAAAACTAGGACACGGGCCCCTCCAGGGACCAGGCATTTCCTCATCCAGGGAGTTCAAGGCCCCGGCCTCCACGGAAACACCAAAACACTCATCTTCCTTGACCACAAACGCCGCCTCACGTCTGCAGTACAAGGGCCAGGGAATGGAGCCCCGGGCACTACCCTCACTAGGGAACCATGAGTGGGGGGAAGGCAGCCAAGAAGACTTGGAGTTTTCGCGAGTCGACAGCCTGGATTCCACAGGCGACCCACCCCTGGCAGCTTATTCCAGAAAACCTCAAGAAACTCCAATGTTCCGTTCTCTCTCACACACATACACAAAATAACTGAAATAAAACACAGTCAGCATTAAAAGACACAGACCGTTCACACAGGACTGCTCAGTCCCTGGGGATGCAGCCTATATAACAAGACTCAACACGCCCACTTTCCCTGAGAATTGTCAGGATGGCAGCTGCGAGCCACCTGGGCTGGCCACACTGGGCCACCTGGGGACTGCTCTGACCTAAGCGCCGCTGGGCCTCATTGTGGAAAAAGGTCCACAGGAATGTTCCCTAAGCAAGAGGAAGCACACTGGCCAGCGGCTGGCATGGGCCACCAGGTCTCCCTCAAGGCTCCAAAACCAGAACCGCTGGCCGTCACTCCTAGAAATGGAGACACAAAGTGACCAACATGTACCTTCCACAGAGACACATACAAGGGCCCTCAATCCTTCCCTGGACATGCCAACTGGCAGCCCAGTCAGGGCCCCAGACGTCCCTGGGAAGCAGGTGATCGCTCTTGAAACAAACAGAGACAGTAAGTCCAATGGAAGCCCATGGAATCACGCTCTGTCCTCCCCCGGCGACGCTCCACAAGGAGTCCGCCCCTCCGCGCCTGGACCGCAGCACCAGCCACAGATGTGACCATGCATGTGGACTAAATGACAGCGCTACAGAGACGGTTCTACACCTGCAGCACCAGGGCCTAGTATCTGCAAAGTGCCCCAACAACCAGCGGATCTCAAAATTGCTCACCAACTCAGAAGGTACCAACAGGTATTGCTATGTGATGGGCCTACAGCTCTAATCAGAAGCCATGGGAGCTTCTGCTCTTGGTCACTGAACAACAGGCCTTCAGTGGCTGCCTCTGAACACCTGGTCAACACAGATTCACGCCATGCGCTCACAGGGCCTAGACCAAAACCACACTCGCTGACTCCTAGGACTAAATGGCTAGAGGTCCACCATGCCAACAAAGACTGGGTGTTCAAACCAGAACTTTAACTCGTGCACACCCAGCGATGGAGGTGAAGCTACTGACTCTCAGACAGAACATGCTGAAATGCTGCCATGCTGGGGGGAGCGTGCGTGAGTGTGACCGAGGGGCCGCTGTCCCTCACCCCTGCCCTGGGCCCTCCACGTGCTGGACCTCAGATCCGATGAGAACGTCGACGGTTGGAGTTCTCACTCATTTTGTTCAGCTTTTCCAAGGAATGCACTGTGAGGGGGTCATCATCGATCCAAGCACATTCGGGGACACAGGAAAATTCGGGAAGGCAGAATGGACAGGCCACTGGGTAAACCAATGACCTCCGCAATCCAGGAGCATGAAGCATGAAATCCGAGTCACTGACCAAGAGGGACAGTCACTCCATTTTCGGAATAAATCCTGACATGCCATTGGGACACGTGGACGAGCCACCATTCTAGGAAGTCTATTAAATAGTAAGTAGACAGGCAAACACGGGGCAGAGGAAATCTCACCTTCCTCAGGGATCCACGTGTGTGGTGCTCACCCAGGGATACACTCCCTCCAGGACTCCCAAGCGCCTCTGGGCATCAGAGCAAAGGCAGGTCGTCTCTTCATGGCTGACGGCGAGCTTCCACGGCCACCCCACCTGGGAGGTGCAGAGAAATCACATGCACATCTGAGCAACATACTCAGAACCTAACACAATGAAAATACAACAGAGAGACTGCAGGTTCTGAAACGCTCATGTCCTGTGTGGAGCGTGCATGCGTGTGACCACGGGGCCGCTGTCCCTCGCCCCTGTCTGCCCTGGGCCCCCCACGTGCTGGACCTCAGATCCGATGAGAACGACGACGGTTGGAGTTCTCACTCATTTTGTTCAGCTTTTCCAAGGAATGCAGTGTGAGGGGGTCATCATCGATCCGAGCACGCTCGGGGACACAGGGCGTGTTAGCAAGGCTCGCTGCATGGCTCACCTAGTCTTGTAGTGAGTCTTGGAGTGACTTGAAGCATCTGGATCCAAGCCACTGAGCAAAGGGGACAGGCCCTCATCAATCCCCTCTTGGACAACATCCCCACATGCCACTGGATACGCAGGGACAGGCTGCCAACAGCAGGTTGATGAAATGTTAATGCCAATGGCTTAACTTGGGGCAAAGAAATGCTTACCTTCTGAGTGACTCGCAGGCATAATGTAGAGCAAGGCCAATGCTGCTTCTGGGACTCCTGCGTGCACCCACCCATCCATTACAAAGGCAGGTGGTCTCTTCTAGGCAGACAGCAAGCCTTTCATGACACCTCCACCTGGGAAGTGTAGAAGAATCACATGCACATTTGAGTAGTGTACCCAAGTTCTCAGGTAACAAGGTCCATGCCAACCATTCCCCCAGGTAAGACTTGCACCTGCCAGTCATGTGCTTCTGTGCCTCAGGCGTGACAGCAGGCACACGTGACACCCTGCAGTAGGTGGGTATGCAGGGCTGTGTGCATGTGGTCCTGACAGAGGACCCAGCTCCTGAACAAGCACGGCCTGGGCCCCGACCCTGAGAAAAATGCCCTGCTTCCCAACAATGGAAGTCGGGGTCTTCAAAGAACGGGTGCAAACAGGGATGCCACAAGCCTTCTAACATATTCAAGAGATTCGTCTTTCCCATCTGCTCTTCCCGAACAAACCACACTGATCCTACATACACCGTCTCCTGACCTTGGATGTGATGTCAGCCTACACACTCTGTCCCCACAGGCGGTCACACATCAGTGCACTAGAACTAAACCAACGACGTCCAAAACACAGAACCACCTACATCTAGGTGGCCGCAATGGCACCAGAGCCAAAGGAGCCTGTCTTAGCCTTAAGTGGCCAAGTGAGATGAGACCAGGTGAAGCTTCCAGCTCACTAAGCCTAACTTCCCATGCAGGCCAGCAGGTAACCAGACAGGAACGGCCTCTCTTCCCCCATGGCCGGGGGTAACACATGACTGAAACACGGGCACTTGCCCCCCGGAGACCAGGCATTTCCTCCTCCAGGGACATTCAAGGCACCAACCTCATAAAAAGGAACTCACATTAGGCTGCCTTTGCCCAAAGGAGCATCCCCATGACTACAAGGGAAGGCTCTGGAAAAGTAGCTCCATCCTACAGCCAGCAACGGTGTGGTGAGGGTCAGGGAGCAACAGGCATAGAACACATTGATTTTGCATGAGTCGACACCCTGGGATTCAACAAGAAACCTCAACTTTGGGCCCAACAACCTCCGAAAGTTCAGAAACTCTATTCACAAAGCCTAGAACAAGAATAAACATAAACACATATTCCAGGCGAAAACAGACAGGCCTTTTCCACCAAGTGGTGCCCGACATGCCAGAAAACAAGGTTTCTCCCACGTCCACAAGCTTTCCAGGAAAAAAAAAAACCAACCCACTTAAAGAAGGTGAGAAACACAAAGTGCCAGGAGAACCCAATCGCCCTGAAGATCTATCTTGACTTCAGCACCTCCAGGCTTGGACAGAGCTAAGTGTCAAAAATCACGTTCACCCAGCACAAAGAGAGGCGGTGCGGGCAGGAGAGCTGGCTGGCACGGGCGACTCGACCTCTTCAAGGTGCTGACACCAGAATCCCTGGGTGCCACCCCTCTGATAGGGAGACGCTAGGTGAACCGCCTGCACCCGCCACTGCGCCCTGTGCAGGGGACCCGATGCCTCGCTGGCCGGCACCACTGGGCAGCCCTTCAGGGCCAAGAGAAGCTCCTGGGTAGCCGAGGGTGGCTCTTGGGACAGAGGGAGCCAGCAGTTTCCCTGGAAACCCAGGGAATCGCAATCCAACGTGTCCTGTAGGGGACCCTCCTCCCTGTCCAGGCCTTCAGCTCCCACAGCGACTTCACCTCCCAACATGCAACAGCGTGCAGCTCTTGGCTGCATTCCATGCATGTGGATTTGCTACAAATAAAAGTTTCCAACGGTAGCACTGATCTGCCATTGGCCACCAACACCTCGGGGAACTCAAAATTCCTCACCAAGTCAAAAGGCAAGGACAGCTATCGCTACCTGCAGGGTGACGGACGCTGAAGGGAAGCCAGGGAAGCTTGGCTCAGTGGCACCAAAGCCAGACCATCATGGGCGTAATTCTGAAGCAAAAACCTGGCCAACACAAATCCACGTCATGAGCTCACGGCGACCGGGCCACCCCCACACTCTGGCTCCCAGGACTGAAATCCTACACGGCCAGCATACCAACAACGACCGGGCACTCAAACTTCAACTTTTTGTTCACTGACACCCAATGACACAGACGAAGCCACTGATACGATCTCTCAGAGGGAAGGTGCTCAAATGCTGACGTCCTGGGCGGTGTGTGCGGGAATGTGACCAAGGGCCAGCTGTCCCTCACTCTAACTGTCCTTGGGGCCCTGCACGCGCTGGACCTCAGATCTGATGAGAACGACGGTATGGAGTTCTCGCTCATTTTGTTCAGCTTCCAAAGAATGCATTTTTGAAGGGGTCATCACTGATCCGAGCACATTTCAGCACCTGGGTTATTGAGCAGGTTCGCTGGGTGGCTCACTGGGTGGGGCAGTAACGTCAGAGACTACCAGTGGCCTGGAGCACCCAGATCCCAGCCACTGAGCAAAGGGACAGTCCATCCACTCTTAGAGGAACACCCCACGTGCCATTCAGGACAACCGAACTAACCACCCCTAGTAGCTCCAAAACTGTGAAAGCCAATGTCTGAACTTGGAGCAGAGGAACGCTTACCTTCCTGAGAGATGCCCAGGGGTGGCGGTCACTCAGGGCCACGCCTCCTCTGGGACTCCTGGGGACCTCAGTCATCCAGGGAGAGGGGTCTTTGTTTCTGGGCTGAGAACAGCCTTGCACTGCAGCTCCGCCTGAGAAGTAGACAGAAATCATATGCATGTTTGAGACACGTACACAGAACCTCAGGGAATTAATTCATGTCACTCTCTTCCCCCACTCAGGCCTTGCATCTGTCACCTATTTCTGTCCCTGAGATCTAGCATACGGCAATGATTCCATGCGTGTAGATCGGTCTGCAAATATGCTGCATGTGTCCATGGGCAGAGGCCTCCTCGGCTGACCACGCGAGCCCCGTGCACTGATTCTTGACCAGACGCACGTATCCCAATGAATAATAAAGACGTATTTCATAAATATAAAATGAAATAAAAAATAGGAAACTTTCACTGCCTGCCGGTGCTACAACAGACCCAGATGTTCCATTCCCTTAGCCACTCTTTTGGCCAAAAAAAAAAAAAAAACAAAACAAAAAAACCCCAAAAAAACCCCACATTGACTCTATGTCGCTGCTCCTCCCGACTGTGCATATGCAGTCACGTTAGTCATTTGGGACCTACTGTCGCAAGTGCACTGCTCGGATGGAAACAGGTGATCCTGAAACAATGAAGCCACCGCCACAAACCCTGACGCCATTAATCAGCATGCGGCCTAGAGGGCAAAAGGAGCCTGTCCTAATTCTGGGTGGCCAAGCAAGTTCGGGCCAGTCACCTCTCTGTGCTCAGACAAATGCCCTCAGTGAGACAAAGGAAACCACGATGGCGTTGTGATGGTCACCAGCATGACCCGCTACAAAACCCAATGACACTAGGCCACATGTGATCCACAGACATTGTGAATCTTGACTCTGTGGGACTCACTGAGACCCTACCCCTCTCTCAGCACAAAAATGCCACCAAAACCCTTGGAGAGTCCTTGAGCATCAAACACAAAGACAGAATTAACAATGAAGCTTCCTCCAAACAAGGGTATGTGAACATCTCCCCCGGCAGGGATCTGTTCATGGATGGGGGTCTGCTATGACCACCGGCGTCCACGGCAAATGTCAACCCTACTGAACAAACTGGGATACGTCAGTGCCAAGAAGGTAGCACTCCAAAGTGGCACTTTGACCTGGGAAGTCCTCTGCTGAGGGGGCAAAGGGACAAAGGGAATATTGGCCAGGCAAGTCCAATCAGAAAGGACTGGATGGCTCTTGTGGGCCAGTCGACTTCTTAGAAAGCACTAGTAATAAAACCACTGACCACTCCTCTGGAATGGAAACTGTAACTGAACGAAGGTGAGAAACCACGGCATCATGCGCAAGAACACGGGACACTATGGGGTAGTCACTCTGAGAACTTGCCCTCAAGACCCCGACAGGTCCACAAGCCACAGGACAAGGACTTTGGTTGCAACAAATGAGGCAGTAAATCCCCCCCAAACCCACAGAACCACACCACGCCGTGCCCCCTGCATGGCCCTCGGCTCTTGTCTACAACATCAGGCACCACCAGCGTCCTGATTTCAGACCTAAGTCCACGAAATCAGGACTTAGACGGTTGGCCACCTTGCGTGTAAAATGGGGCTACTTAAAACAGAGAAGGGCCAACTGCAGCAGCAGGACCTAATCATCCCGCAGCTCTGCTCCGGCCCCGGGGTGGCTTAAGTGTCCTCATGCAGTCGAAAAGCAAGAAGGAGCTCACAACTTGGAAGACCAGCGGCTCCAATTAGAAGCCATGGGAGCTACGGCTGCTCAGGTCCATGTGCAGACCCCAAACGGCTACATGTGAAGCAGCTACCTGGTCAGAAGGAGGCTCTCTGATGCTGACACTGTGGGTGGCGTGTGTATGAGCGTGACCGAGGGGCCGCTGTCCCTCACTCCTGCCTGCCCTGGGCCTCCACGTGCTGGACCTCAGATCCAATGAGAACGACAATGGTTGGAGTTCTCTCATTTTGTTCAGCTTTTCCAAGGAATGCAGTGTGAGGGGGTCGTCATCGATCCGAACATGCTCTGGGGTGCAGGTCACTTGGGTGACGCAGCCTGGACAGCTCATCCAGAGAGCCAGTGACCCCAGCATCTTTTATTGGCCTGGAGCACCCAATCCCAGCCACTGAGCAGGAGGAACTTTTAATCACTCTTTCGGAAAAAGCCCATGTGCCAGGATACTCTAGCAAGTCTAAAATTCCTAAAGCATTTGGTAAAACTTGGGGCAGAGGAAAGCTTACCTCCGTCGGCGATCCACGGGCACGGGGCACACGCAGGGACACGCTCCTTCCAGGACTTCTGCACAGCTCTGGTCATCGAAGAGAATGCAGGCCATCTCTCCATGGCTGACTGCAAGCCTTGCACGGCCCCTCCACCTGGGACATGTAAATCACACGCACATTTGAGACACTCCCCCAGATTTTCAGATAACATGACCCTTCCTGGCCTTTCTCCCAGGTATGCCTTGCCCCTGTCTGTGGGGCACCTCTGTCCCTTACGAGTGACTGCAGCTGCGTGTGACGCCATGGGACCGACAGGTATGCAGGGGTGTGTGTGCGTGGTCCTGACAGAGGACTCACCTCCTGAACAAGCACAGCCTGGGCCCGGCTGCCTAGATTCACACTCTGCTCCCAAGAGAAAAAGATGGGGTTTTCAAACAAAGGGCTGCAAATTCTGACCTCCAGGCCTGTCTGATAGAGTCCACAGACTCCCTCTCTCACAGCCACTCCTGAACACATCACAGCGATTCTTGGTACACATTCCCCTGACCTTGGATGTGACGTCAACATGGACCCTGTGTTTCTGCAAACTGCCCCAGGTAAACCACAGGGGACAGAACCCAGTGACCTCTGGAAACACAAACCACCCCCCTGCCTACAGGCGGCACCAATGGCACCTGGCAGACGTGGCCTGTCTTAGTCTTCACTGGACAAATGAGTTCAGGCCACTAAGCCAGATAATTATCCTCATGGGGAAGGTGGTAACGAGACAGAAGTGGCCCCTCTTCACCACCATGACCCAGGGAACACCCGACTGAAAGCAGAGAGAGGCCCTTCCAGGGCCTGGGCATATCCTCATCCAGGAAGTTCAAGGCCCTGACTTCCATTGAAACGTTCCAGTACTTGGCCGTCTTGACCGAAGGCGCGTCCACATGCCTACAAGGCACGGCCCGCAGAAAAGAGGCCTAATCACTGCACCCCACATGGTGCAGTGAGTGTCAGGGAGCACAGCCAGAGAAGATTTGGATTTTATGTAAGTCGACAACCTGGATGTAACCAGTGCCCGCACCCTTGGCAGGTGATCCCACAGTGGACTTCACAAAGCTCAAATGCTCCCTTCACAACGACAAGAACAAAAACTGAGAGAGAACACATCTTTCACGTAAAAAGAATGGGCCTTTTCTGAGGGAGCTGTCAGTCCCTGCGAGTGCACCTGACACCCCAGGACTCCCAGGCTCTGCCATCCGCACAGGTCTCCAGTAAAAAATCCAGCCCATCAGAGGAAGGAGTAAGATACCTCTTCCTGGAAAGCCAGGCCAGGCTGGAGAAGTTCTTCGACCTCAGCATCTCCGAACTTCAACAGGGCACAGGGGACAAAGAGAATGCTCCCCTAAGCTACGTGACCCAGGGATGGCTGAGCGGCCTGTGCGCTGCACCGCTGGACCCCCTACCAGCGCCAAAAACAGAACCACTGAGCTCCGCTCCCTGAAAATGCAGTCGCCATGGGAATAACGTGGACCTTCCACGGTGGCACATACAAGGGCCTTGACTCCACCCTGGCAGGTACCAACGGAAGCCCGTCAGGGCCAAGAGAAGGCCCTGGGAAGCTGATGAATGTTGCCACAACAAACAGAGAGAGCACGGCTCGTGGAAGGCTGTGGAATCACACCCTGACACGACCCCTCCAGTACTCCTGTTCAGGCCATCAGCCACACCAACAGCTTCACCGCCGCCCTCAGAGCACAGCACAGTCCGTGGCTGGCCGTCACAGGCGTGGACTGAAGTATATTACAAATAGCAGCTTCCAGCGGTGGTGGCACCACGGCCTAACATAGGCAATTGGCCCTCAACACCTTCGGAATCTCAATGTTCCTCAAAAGGCCAAAGAGCAGGAAATAGATCGTTATGTGATGGGCCTGATGCTTGAATCAGAAGGTCAGTGCGATTCTGCTCCCGGTCAACAAAACACAGACCTCCGGGCTATGTCTGAGGCAGAAACCAAGTCAATGCAAATCCACGCCATGTGCTCACTGGGCCTAGACCAAGGCCATGTTCTGTTGACTCCTAAGGAGTGAAATGCTTGATGGCCACCATGCCAGCAGAGACTGGACATTCAAACCAGAACACTAGATTCCTGGACACTCGATGCGAAAGACGACGACCCAGATCCTCAGAACACACTAAAATGCTGACGGTCTGGGTGGTGCACGCATGAGTATCACTGAGGGGTCACTCTCCCTGTCTCCTGCCTGTCCGGGGCCCCCCCGTGCTGGACCTCAGATCCGATGAGAACGACGACGGTTGGAGTTCTCACTCATTTTGTTCAGATTTCCAAGGAATGCATTGTGAGGGGGTCACCATCGATCCGAGCACGTTCTGATACGCTGGATAATTTATCAAGGCAGGCTGGGCGGTTCACTGGATGATCCAGTGACGTCAAGAGTCCTCCAGCGGCCGGCAGGAGTTAGATCCCAGCCACTGAGGAAGAGGACATGCAGTCACTCTTGGAGGGGAACCCCATGAGCCATTCAGGACACCCCAACGAGCCACCTCGAGCACCTCTAAGAAACGTGAGGACAGTTGGCTGAACTTAGAGCAGGGAAACACGTACCTTCCCGCGTGTCTGTAGGGATGATGCTCACTCAGGGCCACATCTCCTCTGAGACTCCCATGAACCTCTGTCACCCAGGGAGAGAGAGATCTTCCGTTTTTTTGGCCGAGAAAGACCCTTGCAATCAGCTCCACCTGAGAAGCAGACAGAAACCAGAGGTGCGTTTGAGTAATGTACCCAGGTCCTCAGGGGATTAACCCACGTCATCCTTTTCCCCTCAGTGGACCCTGCGTCCGAATGGCACCTACTTCTGTCCCTGAGGAATGACTGTGGCAGGTGTGATGCCATGCATGTGTGTCAGTCTGCAGATGTGTTGCGTGTGTCCTTATTTGAACAATCAAGCCCCGTGCCGAGATCTCTGGCCACACATCCAAAGAGAAAAAGAAAACTCATGTTGCTGCTAACATAGGCCAGGACTCCCTCTCTTTGTCAAAGCCAGCCCTTCTGAACACAAACAGCCTTGTGATTCTATGTACAAACTCTTACTGGCCATGGATGTGAGGTCCGCTTAGACATCCGAGCCCCAAAACTGTCACAGCTGAACCGCCCTGGAGGGAATCACAGGGGCCACCGCAATGAACAAGCCACCGACAAAAAGCCTCTTCCCATCGGCAATCCACCTCCAGGGAAGTAGCAGCCTGTCCTCATCTCCAGGGGCCCAGGGACATCTGGCCAGGCAGCTGGCTGTGCTACCTCAGCCAAATGGCCTCCGTGAGACAACAGGACACTGGAGGAGGATTCGTTGTCTTCACCTACCACGATTCCAAACAAACGCCCAACTGCAACTAGGCCGCATGCTGACCCAGAGACATTGAAAAGCTCGACACTATGGGACTCACTGTGACCCCTCTGTCCCTCAGCACAAAGACACCACCCATGGCCTCGCAGAGTCCCTGGGTGTCAAACCCGAAGCCACGAGGCAGGATTAAATATGATACCTCCCCTGAACAAGGACAAGTAGACATTTTCCAAGGCAGAAATCTGTCAACAGCTGTGTGCCAGGTCCCGTGTTGCTCTGGGTCTTGGCCACGCCCACAGACTGCCACACCTCTGATCAGAATGGGACGGACCGGGGCCAGGAAAACGGCAACGTCCTGAAATAACACTGTGGCCCGGATGCTCCCAGCCAAGGCACAGAGGGAAAAGGGGGATGTTGGCCAAACGGCTACAATTAGAGATGGCCAGAGGCAATCAACGGTACGTGTCCCTCTTCAATGGGGCGACTCCGCACTGGAAACGCTAAGTGAACAGAGGTCAGAAGCCACAGCCTCATGTTCTAAACCGTGACGCCTTCGCTACAGGAACCCTACGTATGACCCTTACAGACCCTGACATCCCTGAAATCTAAGGACGATAATGTCAGTTGAAAAACAGGGGATGGAACACGCTAGAGACACTCACAGAACCAGACTGAGCCCTGTCATCCTGGTGTCCTGCTGTCCCTGTCCAGGCCAGCAGCCACCACCGCTTCCTGGCTTCAGAGCTGCAGCCACAGTGCAGTCCGTGGTTGGCCAGCTGGCACGGGGACTGGGCAAAGCACTGACCAGAGGAGCTGCCCACTGCAGCACATGGCCTGAGTGTCCCTCTGTCACCACCCCCAGTCCCGTGGGGGTTCCATGATCCTCGCAGAGCCTAAGACAAGTGTAAGTTTCCAGACTGCCACACCCAGGGATCGAAAGAGAAACCAGGGAAGCTTCTGCCCTTTGGTTCTACCACAGAGACCACCCATCACAGGCGACTTCTGAAGCAAGAGCCTGGCCAGGACACACCCAGGCCATGGTCTCCAAGGGCCCGCGCCGCAGCCACACTGCACCCCTGTCAGGAGCAGAAAATGTGCTAGTTCACGAGACCCAATGACGGGGCATCGCCAAAATCCACTGATCACAACCACCCAGCTGGAGACATGAAAGCCCTAACAGTCCCGAGGAGGCTCTCCGAAGCTGATGTGCTCGGTGGGGCGTGCACGCGTGTGACCATGGGGCCGCTGTCCCTGTCTCCTGCCTGCCCTGGGCCTCCACGTGCTGGACCTCAGATCCGATGAGAACGACGGTGGGAGTTCTCACTCATTTTGTTCAGCTTTTCCAAGGAATGCACTGTGAGGGGGCCATCATCGATCTGAGCACGTTCTGGGACGCAGGAAAATTCAGGAAGGCAGGGTGGCCAGGCCAATGAGTAAACCAATGACCTCAGAGCCCTCCAGGAGCAGGAAGTCTACAAATCCAAGTCGCTAAGCAAGAGGGACCGTCGCTCCATTCTCGGAGCAAATCCGATGTGCCACTGGGGACACGTGGACAAGCCACCACTCTAGGGAGTCTATTAAATGGTAAATATAAAAGCAAACCACGGGGCAGAGGAAATCTCACCTTCCTGAGGGATCCACATGCACAGTGCTCACCCAGGGTCACACTCCCTCCAGGCCTCCCGAGCACCTCTGGGCGTCAGAGGAAAGGCAGGTCATCTCTTCACGGCTGACGGCGAGCTTCCACGGCCACCCCACCTGGGAGGTGCAGAGAAGTCATATGCACATCTGAGCAACGTACTCAGACACTGACACAATGAAAACACAAACAGTAATTCAAGAGGCTCTGTAGGCTGAGGTCTGCGTGGAGCGTGCATTGATTGTGACCGAGGGGCCGCTGTCCCTCTCTCCTGTCTGCGCCCTAGGCCCCCCACGTGCTGAACCTCAGATCCAATGAGAACGATGACGGTTGGAGTTCTAACTCATTTTGTTTAGCTTTTCCAAGGAATGCATTGTGAGGGGGTCATCATTGATCCAAACATGTTCTGGGACGCAGGACACTTAGGCAAGGCAACCTAGGTGACCCGCCTAATGAGCCAGTGACCTCAGCGTTCTACAGTGGCCTAGAGGACCCAGATCCCAGCCACTGAGCAGGCAGGACAGTCCATCTACTCGTACAGTAGAGCCCCCGATACCGCTGAGGACCCGTGCACAGGCTCCCTGTGTCAGATCTACAAATTCCTCCAACAAACAAAAGGACATGGGAAAAAAATATGCTTACCTTCCTGAGTGACCCACAGGCATGGTGCTCCCCCAGGGACACTCTCTTCCCAGAATGCCGAGCACCTCCCATCATCAATAAACAAATGGGGGTCTCTTCATGGTGGCCGTGAGTCTTGCATGACGATTCCACCTGGAAGCGTGGAGAAATCACATAGAAATTTTAGAAAAATATCCAGATTCGAAGGGACGAGGCAAGCGCCATTGCCAACCGTCCCCTGGGAGTTAACACTGCACCTGCCTGTCATGCATCTCTACCCCTTAGAAGTGACTGCAGGTGAGTGTGACACCAGGAGGACAGGCAGGGATGCAGGGGTGTGTGCGTGTGGCCCTGCGCAGAGGACTCTGCTCCCCAACAAGCACACCTTACACCCAGATCCCCAGCACAATCACGTCCTGCTGCCCAACAACAGAAGACAGGGGGCTTCGAAAGAAAGACCATAAACTCTGACCTCCAGACTCTTCCAAATTAGCCAAGCGCTTCCTGCTTTCACAGATGCTCCCTCTGAGCACATCGCACTGATGGGATGTACACCCTCCTCCTGCCTGTGGATGTGATGTCAACTTGGGCATTACGTGCCCACAAGCGGTCACAGGTAAAGCACACTTGATACAACAGCAACAATGGCACAGGGCAGAAGTGGCCTGTCTTAGTCATAAGTGGCCATATGAGTCCAGGCCAGGTGAAGCTTCGAGCCAACTAAGCCTGACTCCCCACGCGGGCCAGCAGGTAACCAGACAGGAAAGGCTCTTCTTCACCTACCAAGACCGGGGATAACATCTGTTCAAAACGAGGGCACATGCCCCCCGGGAACTGGGGATTTCCGCATCCAGGGAGATCGAAGGCCCTGACCTTCACGGAGACATCGAACTCTCGGCCGCCTTGACCGCAGGAGCCTCCCATGATGGCGAGGTGCATCCCCAGAAGAGCAGCCTCAGTCACTACCCCCAAGGATGGCGCAGTAAGTGTCAGGGAGCAGAGCCACAAATGACGTTAAAGCTACAGGAGCTGGCATTTTGGGATGCAACCCATGAGTGACTCTTCAGGGAACAACGCCACAGAAGACCTCACGAAGTTCAAACACTCCATTCTCGAAGACAAGAACGAGAACGGAAATAAAACCCATCGCCCACGTGAAAAGACGCAGGCCTTCTCCAAGGGGTGGGTCACTAGCAGCGAACCTGACATCCCAGCACATCTCCGCCATGCGCACAGGCTTCCCCATACAGTCTAAACCACCCGAAGAAGATGGACGATGCCTGCGTCAGGAAAATCAGACCACCCTGGAGAAGTGCTTTGACCTTAAAGTCTCAGGGATGAAAAAGAGCAGAGTGAAAAACAATGTCTAAACAATCGGATGCACAGCGGGAGGGACAGCAGCTGGCATCGGCACTGAACCTCCCCTCAGGGCGCTCCCAGGAGACCCACTGAGTGACTATGACTCTGGATTGGAGATGAGGACAGAGCCACCTCGCTCCGTCACGGCGCCATCAGCAGTGGCCCTGAACCTTCCCTGGGACACAGCCATTGGCAGCCCCATGAGGACCGAGGGAAAGTCTGGGGACCCCAATGCAAACCCTGTAGCGATTAAGGACAGGATGTTCCGGCAAGGCCCTTGCAACCATGCTCACACCTGTCCTTTTGCCGGTCCTGCCTTCCTGCCCAGTGCAATGGTCACCCGAGTGCACAGAACAGAGCGTAGCCCATCCCAGCTGCGATTCAATGGCCTCCACAAATCTACAACAAGTAAGAGCTTCCAGCAGAAACAATAAAGCCTAATAATTGATAATTCACCCCAGCACCTTGGGAAACTCAAAATTCCTCATCAAGCTAAAGGCAAGAACAGGTATCGCTACCTGCCAAGCCCAGGGATCTAATCAGGAGCCGCGGGAGCTCGGGCTCTTTGGCACTAAAATACAGGCCATCAGGGTCTACGCCCAAAGCAGGAGCCTGGCCAACACACTCCTACGTCATGAGCTCATGCGGCGTAGGCCAACGCCACACTCTCCAACTCCTAGAGCTGAATGGGTAGAGGGCCATCACACCAAAAAACACTGGATATTCAAACCAAGAACCCTTGATTCATGGACACCCAACTCTAGTGGTGAAGTGAAGGACCCCTAGATGGAAGGCGGTTAAAAGCTGACGTGCTGGGTGGTGCGTGCCGGAGTGTGAGCAAGGAGCAGCTGTCCCTCACGGCTACTGTCCCTGGGGCCCTCCACGTGCTGGACCTCAGTTCCGATGAGAACGACGGTACGGAGTTCTCGCTCATTTTGTTCATATTTCCAAGGAATGCATTCTGAGGGGGTCATCATCGATCCGAGCACACTCTGGGACGCTGGAAACTCCAGCAAGGCAGGCTGGGTGGTTCACTGGGTGATCCAGTGACCTCAGAGTCCTCCAGCGGCCTGCAGGGTGCAGATCCCAGCCGCTGAGGAGAGGGACGCTCAGTCCTCTCTTTGAGGGGAGCCTCGTGAGCCAGTCAGGACACCCGAACGAGCCACCTCAAGCAGCTCTAAGAGCCCAGAAGCTAATGTCTGAATGTGGTGCAGAGGAACGCTTACCTTCCTGAGGGATCCCCGGGCCTGGTGCTCGCTCAGGGACACACTTCCTCCAGGACTCCCGGGGACCTGAGTCATCCAGGGAGAGAGAGGTCTTCATTTCTGGGCCAACAAAAAACCTTGTATCACAGCTGCACCTGAGAAGGGAACAGAAATCATATGTGCATTTAAGAAACATACAACTAACAAGATCCATTTCATCCTCTTCCCCTTACTGGGTCTTGCTACTGAATGTCACCTACTTCTGTCCCTGACACATAACTGAATACAAGTGTCATACCATGCGTGTAGGGCACTCTACAAATATGCTGCATGTGTTCATGGGCAGAGGCCTCCTCAACTGAACAAGCGAGCGCTGTGCTCAGATCCGTGGACACACATGCTGCCTCCCATCGAAGGAAGACCCATTGCTTTAAAAAATATAAAAGCTTGACCGCATGGGGCTGCTAAGTGGTTCCAGGGACACCTTCTCTCACAGCCCCTCCTTCTGAACACACAAAGCACACCCAGTCTCTGTGTGTGTCTTAGTAACTGCAGATGCGAGGGCAGTGCAGACGTGTGGGCCCTGAAAACATTCCCACGGGAAGCTCACGTGCTGGAAACACAGTGCCCATGAAACACCGAGGCCACCGAACAGCCTGGCCCCACGGGCGTGGCAGTAGCAGCAGGGCCAAAGTAGCCTGTCGCAGTGGTAAGGTGCCAGGCAGCTCCAGACCAGGCAGCTGCTCATGCTACCAACCCTACGCCCTCGGCAGGCAGACGAAGGGACACTGCAGGGGATTCGTGGTGTTCACCCACTATGATCAGAACCAAACCCATTTGAAACTGGGACACAGTCTCATCTGGAGACACAGCACAGGTCAGCGCCATGGGACCCAAAGTGTGACCTCTCATCAGCATGGGACCACCACCAGGGACACTGTAGAGCTCCAGTGCTTTATCCACTAGAAGAGGAGGAAGAGCCAAAACAAGTACATCTCCTCCTAACCAAGAGCACTTGGACCTTTTCCAGAATAGAAACACAACCAAGGCAGGGAGCCTGGGATCTTAGGGCACACAGTTGCTGCCACGCCCACAGCCTCTGCCACGCCCACAGACTTCCACTGTAAAATCTCAATCCCTCTGAACAAAATGACAGACAACAGTGCCAAGAAGGCAGCGCCCTCCTAGGTAGCACTTTGACTTAGGCAGCTCCCAGCCAAGAGGAGAAAGGACAAAGGGAATGTTGGCCAAGCCATTCCATTCAGGGATGATGATGAGCAGGGATCGGTCACTGGACACCTTCAAATATACTAGGAAAACATCCTGACACCACTACTGTGCTCTGGGAACAGAAGTCACCAATGGTCAGACACCACGATGTCAGACTCGAGAACGCTGCACCTTCCTTGGCAGGCACCCAAGGTACGCCTGGAGAGGACCCTGAAATCCCATGATGATGACAGTTAAAATAAAGTGAGACAGGAGATTCCATGGAAGACTCTGTAACCACATACTATGATCTGTCCTCTTCAAGACCTCTGTTTCTGAGAAGGCCATCAGCCACCAGACAGACTTCATTTCAGAGCCAGGCCCACAGCACACTGTGCAAGGCGGGCCACCTGGCACGAGGATTGGAAGAGTAGTTAAACTAGAGAAGCTCACTATGGCCGAATCATCCCTCTGTCCCCATCCCCAAACCTATGATGAGCTCCAATTATCTGACCCGTCACAAGGCAACAACAGGGTCACAATTTGCCAGGCCGGGGGCTCTAATCAGAAACCAAAGAAGCCTGTGAACTTCCATTCCCCACACAGACATTCCAGGACTAAACCTGACCTCCAATCTTGGCCAGGACACATCCGGGCCATGGTCTCAGTGGTCCTGCGCCACCGATGCATTGCAACATTGTGAGGACTAGAATACGTGCGAGCCGACAGGACAAAAAGCCTGGCTATTCGCCTGAACACCACCGACCATAAACACCCAACGGAAGACATGAAAATACGGTCAGTCAGGAGGCTTCTTGATACTGGGGCCCTGGGTGGCGTGTGCATGTGTGTGACCAAGGGCCAGATGTCTCTCACTCCTGCCTGCCCTGGGCCTCCACGTGCTGGACCTCAGATCCGATGAGAACGACGACGGTTGGAGTTCTCACTCATTTTGTTCAGATTTCCAAGGAATGCACTGTGAGGGGGTCATCATCGATCCAAGCACGTTCTGGACGCAGGGAAATGTAGGAAGGGAGGATGAACAGGCCAGTGGGTAAACCAATGACCTCAGAGCCCTGCAGGAGCGTGAGGTATGCAGATCTGAGTCCCTGAGCACGAGGAACAGTCACCCCATTCTGAGAGGAAATCCCTGTATGTGACGGGGGACATGTAGAAAAGCCACCACTCTACGGAGTCTGTTAAATAGTAAGTAGACAGGCAGAACACGGGGCAGAGGAAATCTTACCTTCCTGAGGGATCCACAGGCACGGTGCTCACCCACGGACACACTCCCTCCAGGACTCCCGAGCACCTCTGGGCGTCAGAGCAAAGGCAGGTCGTCTCTTCATGGCTGATGGCGAGCCTTGCATAGCCACCCACCCTGGGAGGTGCAGAGAAATCACATGCACATTTGAGCAACGTACTCGGAAACTAAGGCAAAGAAAATACAAAAGTGAGACTGGAGATTCTGAATTGCTTATGTACGACCGAGGGGCCGCTGTTCCTCGCCCCTGTCAGCCCTGGGCCTCCACGTGCTGGACCTCAGATCCGATGAGAACGACGACGGTTGGAGTTCTCACTCATTTTGTTCAGCTTTTCCAAGGAATGCACTGTGAGGGGGTCATCATTGATCCGAGCACGCTCTGGGGCGCTGGACACTCAGGCAAGGCAGCCTGGGAGGCTCACCCAATAAGCCAGTCACCTGATCATCGTACACCGGCCTGAAGCACCCAGATCCCAGCCACTGAGCAAGAGGGACAGTCCATCCACTCATTGAGCAAAGTCCAGCTTACCCCTGGGGACATGTGGACAGGCTTCCCATAGCAAACAGATGAAATTCTAAAGTGAATGGCAGAACAAAGGTAGAGAAATGCTTACCTTTCTGAGTGATCCAAGGGCACGGTGCTCAGGCAGGGACACGCTCCCTCCAGGCCTCCAGAGCACCTCCAACCGTCAATGGAAAGGCAGGTTGTCTCTTCATGGCTGATGGCGAGACTTGGACAGCGACTCCACCTGGGAAGTGTAGAGAAATCACATGCACGTGTAAGAAACATACTGTGATTCTCAGGGAACAAGACCCATGCCATCTTGTCTCCCAGGTAAGCCTTGCACCTGCCTGTCATGCACCTCTGTCCCTTAGGAGTGACTGCAGGCGTGTGTGACACCATGAGGTAGGCTTTATGCAGGGGTGTGTGCCCCATGGCCCTGTGCAGAGGGCTCAGCTCCTCAACAAGGACTCTGGGCCCACATCCCTAGCACTATGGCCAACAAAGGCTGAGAGCCTTCAGAAGAAAGGATGGAGATCTGGCTTCAAGAGGTTCTACCATAGCCTGTAGACACACTCCTTCCATAGCCTATCCCTCTAAACAAATCACACCAACTCTGTGTATACCCTTCTCCTAGCCATGAAACTGACGTCAACTTGGACACTGTGTGCCTACAAGATGTCAAGAGGTAACCCGCATTTGACAGAACCCAGTGACCCCAAGAACAAACCCCCACATACAGGTGGCACCAATGGCACCTAACAGACAACGCCTGACTTAGTCTCCATTGGCCTACGGAGCTCAGGCCAAGCGAGTCCTCGAGGCCGTTAAGACTAACTGTCCTCACGGGCCAGCAGGAAACCAGATAGAAATGGCTCCTAATCACCCTCCATGACCCAGGGTAGAAACTGACCGAAACCAGGGCACATGCCCCTCCCGGGACCAGGCACCTGCTCATCCAGGGAGATTCAAGGACCTGGACTTAGTGCGCATGTTCCAACACTCGGCAGCCTTGACCACAGCAGCCTCTTGGGCCCCATAGTGCAAGGGCCTGGAGTGCACCCTCAGTCACTACACCCCTTCTGGGACAGTGAGCAAAGGGAAGGACAGACGTCAAAGACTTCATTTTCCCTGAGTCCACGGCCTGGGATTCATTAAGTGACCGCACCCTTGCAGGTAGTAACGCAAGCGGCCGCACAGAACCGAAGTGCTTCATTCACAGAAAAAGAGGACAAAGATCAAAATAAAGCACATCTGTTGCACACAAAGATGTGGACATTGTCCAAGGGTGTCGTCAGTCCTGGGTAGTTCATGTTGAGCCCCAACACTCACAGGCTCTGCCACGTTCAAGGGTGGCCCGTGACGACTCTATGCCATCTGAAGAAGGTGCAAGATGCTGGTCCCAGGAACGCTTAACCACCCTGAAGAAGCACCTTTTCCTTAGGATTTCACTTTCTCATTAGGGCAAAGGGCCAAAGAGAATTTTTGCCTAAGTCATCTGAGACAGGGCTGGCCAGCTGTCTGGCCGGGATGGGGGCCATGGGACATCCTCAATGTGCTACAGTAGAACCACTGATAGACCAAGAAGACGCCAGGTGGTGAGGCTTGATCTCCCAGAGCACCATAGCCAAGGGCCCTGGACACATCCCTTAATCGCAACGACTGGCAGCCCATCAGGGACAAGAGAAATCCCACCGAACCTGAAGACTGTGTCTGGAAAAAATGGGAAGAGTATGACCCATGGAAGAACCAGCAATTGCACTAGAACCTGCGGTCACTGGACCTCCAAATAATGGCTTGAGTTTAGAGCTGTGTCCATGGTGGGCATCCTGGCAATGAGGACCACATGAGTGGTTAATTACAGGAGCTGCCAATGCAGCAACAGGGCTTAATCATCCATCTGTCCCTGACCCCAATCCCGTGGTGGCTCCATTGTCTTCACAGAGCCAAAAGGCAAGAACAGGTTCACAGCAGGCCAGGTTGGAGGCTCTAGTCTGAAATGATGGCAGCTTTTGCTCCTTGGCCCCACACAGAACCCCAAGGGCTATTTCTGAAGCAAGGGCCTGGCCAAGGCACATCCTGGCCATGGTCTCCATGGGCCCGTGCCCCAGCCACACCGCACCGCTGTCAGGACCAGAATATGTGCTGGCTGACAACATAGAAGCCTGGACAGACACTCTTGATCATAAATACCCGACTAAAGACATACAACTCCTCACAGTCAGGAGGCTCTCTGATGCCGACACCCCGCATGATGCGTGCATGAGTGTGACTGAGGGGCAGCTGTCCCTCACTCTAACTGTCCCTGGGCCCCCCACGTGCTGGACCTCAGATCCGATGAGAACGACGACGGTTGGAGTTCTCACTCATTTTGTTCAGCTTTTCCAAGGAATGCAGTGTGAAGGGGTCATCATCGATCCGAGCACGTTCTTCAAGGACTGAAAATTCTGGCGAGGCCAGCTGGGCTGCTCGCTCAGTTGGATCGTGACCTCACATTGGACACCGGCCTGGAGCATCCAGGTTCCAGCCACTGAGGAAGAGGGACAGTCAGTCCACTCTTGAGCAAAAACCACATGCCACTCAGTGCCATGTGGACAGGCTGCCTCTATCAGGTCTATGAAATCCTGAAACAAATGGGAGAACTGGGGGCAGAGAAGTGCTTACCTTCTTGAGGGATCTGTGAACACGGTGCACACCCAGGGTCACGCTCCCTCCAGGGCTCCCGCACATCTCCAATTATTCAAAGAAAAGGAGGTTGGGTCTTCATGGCTGCTGGTGAGTCTTGCACGGCCACTCCACCTGGGAAGTGTAGAGAAATCACATGCACATTTAAGAAAAGTACTCAGATGCTCATTTAACAAGATGCTTACCAAACATTTTCCTCTGGGGAAGCCTTGTATCTCCCTGTCATGCACCCCTGTCCCTTAGGAGTGACTGCAGGTGTGTGACACCGTGAGGCAGGCAGGTACACAGGTATGTGCACGTGTGGCCTTGAGCAGAGGACTCAGCTCCTCAACAAGTACATCTTGGGCCCAGATCCCTAGATTCACAGCCTGCTTCCCAACATAGCAAGATAGGGCCTTCAAAATAAAGGGTGCACACTGCGGCCTCAAGAGGCTTCTCCAACAGTCACCAGACTCCTTCTCTTACAGCTTCTCCTTCTGAACACATCACAGCAATTCCACGTGCACCCGCTTCCTGACCTTGGATGTGATGTCAACATGGATGCACTTGATCTGCAAGCTGTCACAGGTAAACCACACTTGACAGAAACCAGTGACAGCCTAGGCAACAAAATCCCCCCATACAGTGGCACCAATGGCATATGGCAGAAGTGGCCTTCTTGGTCTTAAGTGGCCAAACAAGTTCAGGATGGGCAAAGCTTTGTAATAACTAAGCTTAATAATTGTCATCGTGGGCCAATGGGTAACCAGACAGGAATGTGTCCTATTTACCCACCATGCCCCAGGGTAGGAAGTGACAGCAACTAGGGCACATTCCCCTCCAGGGATCAGGTATCTGCTCATCCAAGGAGACTGAAGGCCCTACCTTTGCAGAAATAATACAACACCTGCTGCCTTAACCAAAGCAGCATCCTTATGCCTCCCAGGGAAGGCACAGGAAAAGCAACCTCTACCACTACACCTAATATGGTGGAATGAGTATTAGGGAGCATATACATAGAAGGTCTGGATTTTGCATGAGTCAACTATGTGGCTACAACACGTGGCCCCACCCCTGGCATATGATATCAAAATAAACCTCACAAAGCTCAAATAGTCTTTTCATAAATACAAGAACAAGCAATGCAATAGTACATTTGTTCTACCTAAAAAACCATGGATGTTTTCCCAGGACCATTGAGCCCCTGGCAGTCACAGCGCACATGGCCTCCGCGACGCCTGCTGGTATCCGCTGGGAAAAAATCTAACCTGCCAGAAAAAACTGTGACCTACCTGTGCTAAGGAAGTCACATCCCACTGAAGATGTACACTGACCTTAAAACGGACAGACCTTAACAGGGGGAAGGGTCAAAGGGCATGCACCCCTAAGGGACGTGCCCCGTGATGGCCGCCGGACCAACTCAATGGGCTGCGGACAGGCAACTGAGCTCCACTGTCTGAAATGGAGACACCAAGTGACCACACTGCATCCACCACAGGGCCATCTTCACAAGGGCCCTCAACAGCCCCTAGCAGGCCCCCCGTCGACCCCTCAGGGCCAAGAGAAATGCTGCAGAGCCGATGACCACCTTTGGGTCAAATGGAAACAGCACATCCCACGGAAGCAGGTGACATTACACTCCCACCTGTCCTCTCAGTTGTCTGCCCTTCCTGTCCTGCCCATCGCCCCCCACAGATCTGCGCTTCAGGCGTGGAGAACAGCACAGTGCACGGATGGCCGCCACGAGCGTGCACTGGGCAAGTACGTCACAGACAAGAGCTTCCAACTGCAGCACCGAAGACAGTCATCTAGAAGGTGCTGCCAACATCTTAAGGAACCCAATTCCCCACCAAGTCAAGTGGCAAGAACAGGTGTTGCTACCTGCAGGCCTGGGGCTCTAATCAGGAGCAGGGCAGCATTGCTCTTTGGCCAAAGAGAGACCCATCGGTAGCTACATCTGAACTGAGAACATGGCCAAAAGAGATCCACAACATGAGGGTCAGCTAACACCACTTCCTGGGACCAAAATGCTACATGGATACCCCAACAAGACTGACCCGTTCAAACCAGAACCTTTGACCGAGGGAGAGCCAGCCACAGCGGTGAAGCCACTGGCCCTGAGACAGAAGGCACTCAAAGGCTGATGTGCTGGGCGGTGTGTGCAGGAGTATGACCAAGGGGCAGCTGTCCCTCACTCTAACTGTCCCCAGGGCCCTGCACGTGCTGGACCTCAGATCCGATGAGAACGACGGTATCCAGTTCTCACTCATTTTGTTCATCTTTCCAAGGAATGCACTGTGAGGGGGTCGTCACCGATCTGAGCGTGTTCTGGACGCCAGAAAACTGAGCGGTGCCAGCTATCGACTCACGGTGCGAGTCTAAGATTTCAGGGTCCTCCAGTTGCCAAAAGAATCAAGATCAAAGGCACTTAAGCAAGAGGGTCACTCACCCTACATGCCACTGGGGACAAAAACATGAGCCACCTCTAGCACCTCTTGGGTATCAGAGAGCAGATGGCTGGACATGGACCAGGGGAAAGCTTACCCTCCTGAGCGATCCCCAGGCCCGGTGCGCACGCAGGGCCACACAGAAGCTGGCACTCCCGGGGCCGTCCAGTCATCCAGGAGCAGGACGAGCGTGTTCTGTTGGCTGACAATGAACTCTGCACCGTGACTCCACCTGAGAAGTACAAAAAACGTACACGTTTGAGAAATATATACAGGTTTTCAAGTCATTAATGCACATCATCCTCTCCCTCCTTCACGGGAGTTGCATGTGACTGTCATACTTCTGTCCCTGAGGAATGGCGGAGGCAGGTGTGATGTCATGCGTGTAGGTCGGTCTTCAAATGCATTGCATGTATGTGCGAGCAGAGGCCTCCTCAGTTGAATGAGCAAGACCCGAGCTGAGATCCCCAGCTACAGGCCTGTCTCCCAACAAAGGGAACCAAGTTTCTTCAAAACTAATAAAAGTGAAATCTGACCACCTGGCGCTGCTCACACAGGCCAAGGGTGACATTGGTCAGAACCACTCTTTACAGTACACAAAGCATAGTGATTCCGCAGGCACACTTCTGGATGGGAAGTCTACATTGACATTTCATCCCTGAAAACTGTCGTAAGTGACCCAGACCTGATGGACACACAGCGACCCCCGAAACCAACCAACCGACGACACAGAGCCTGGCACCATTAGCACAGGAGCTATGACTCCAAAGTACCCTGTCGTCATCTAAAGTGGCCAGGTGACTTCAGGCCTGGCCCCCCTCCTTGCTAACTAAGCCAAAGGCCCTCCATGGATGCAGAGAAACCTGAGCAATATTCGTGGTCTTCGCCACACGCCACTCAGAATAAAAACCTAATTGAAACCAGGGTGAAAACCCCTCCAAGGACACTACACATGCTGACCCCACGGGACTCAAATGTGACTGATCTCTCAGCATAGGTACAGGACAAATGACCTGTCTGAGCTCCACTCCTTCATCCACAGGGCAGCAGGGAGACCTAAAGAAAATACATCTTATGACCAAGGGCCTGTGAACATTTCCAAGGTAGAAATACATCCATAGCTGTGTGCCTGGTCCCTTAGCATCCACAGTCCCTGCTACATCCACAGGTTGCCACTGGGGAATCTGAAGCCTCTGAGCAGAGTGGGAGGCAAAGTGCCAAGAAAGTGGCACCTTCCAGGTAGCACAGTAACATGGGAAGCTCCCTGTCAAGAGGAGAGAGGACAAAGGGAATGTTGGCCAACCCATTCAAACCAAGCCATGGGCCAGTGGACCTCTTACAATATGCTAGGAGAAAAATGCCACTATGGTGGAATGAAACATCACTGAACAAACGTTGGAAACCACAGTGTCACATTCAGGAACGCTGAGCCCTCGGTGGGATGAATGTGCCTTACGTCGCTTCAAGAGCCTGAGAGGTCCCCGAAATCCAATGACTTTGGTGGAAACACAAGGAGACAGGAAGTTCCAAGGAAACCCATGGAGCGACACTATAACGCGTCCTCTGATTGACCTTCTGCTTCTGCCTAGACTGTGAGCCATCACAGCGTTTTGATTTCCGAGCTGTGTCCACAGCATACTCCCTGGTTGGCCACTGTGGGTGAGTAGTTGAATCAGAGGAGCAGCCAACTGCAGCACCAGGATCTAACTGTCCCTCTGTTCCCACCCCAACCCCATGGGGCCTCCATCATCCTCAGGGTCAAAAGCAAGAAGTGCTCAAATTGCCAAGCCTAGGGATCTAATGAGTAATCATGGAAGCTTCTCTCTTGGGCTCCACCAGAGCGCCCCCAAGGGCTGCATCTGAAGCAAGATTATGGCCAGGACACATCCAGGCCATGGTCTCGAAGGGCCTGTGCCCACACCACACTACCACTGTTGCGTCAGAAACTGTGCTAATTGCCAACACTAAATGAGCGGTCATTCACCCATTGACCATAGACACCCAACTAGAGACATGAGAATACAATCAGTCAGTCAGGAGGCTCTCTGGTGCTAAGGCCCTGGGTGGTGCTTCCATGCGTGTGACCAAGGGGCAGCTGTCCCTCACTGCTACCTGCCCGGGGCTCCCCACGTGCTGGACCTCAGATCCGATGAGAACGACGACGGTTGGAGTTCTCACTCATTTTGTTCAGCTTTTCCAAGGAATGCATTGTGAGGGAGTCATCATAGATCCGAGCACGCTCTTGGAAGGAGAGGCAGGCTGGAGGGCTCATATATGGAGCAATGACCTCAGTAGCCTCCGAGTGGCCTGGAGCATCCCAGTCCCGGCCACTGAGCAAGAGGGACAGTCAGTCCACTCTTGAGCAAAAACCACATGCCACTCAGTGACATGTGGACAGGCTGCCTCTTTCAGGCCTATGAAATCCTGAAGCAAACAGTAGAACTTGGGGCAGAAGGAATCTTACCTTCCTGAAGGATCCACAGGCACGGTGCGCAAGCAGGCTCACACACCCTCCAGGACTCCTGCGCAGCTCCGCCCATCAAAGGAAAGGGAGGTTGTGTCTTCATGGCTGACGGTGAGTCTTGCACGGCCCCTCGACCCTGAAAGTGTAGAGAAATCACATGCACATTTGAGAAATGTACTCAGATGGTCATTTAATAACATGCTCACCAACATTTCCCCCCGGGGTAAGCCTTGCATCTCCCTGCCATGCTCCTCTGTGCCTCAGGAGTGACTGCGGCCGTGTGTGACACCATGACGTAGGCAGGTATGCAGATGTGTGTGCATGTGGTCCTGTGCAGAGGGCTCGGCTCCTGAAAAATTACGCCTTGGGCCCAGAACTCTAACATTACATGCAAACCCCAACTGGGCAGATTTTACACTAGTGCATGGACTCCTTTCACAGAGGTCCCTTCTGAACAAGTCACACCCATCGTTCTTACACTGACTTCCTCATTGTGGATGTGGTGTCAACGTCTACATTCTGCCACCAGACAGAACCCAGTGATAGCCAGAATACCACCACCAAACCCATCTGGTGGCATCAACTGTACCCCGCAGAAGCAGCCTCCGAGGGACCAAAGCCATAAAGATTTTCCTCTTTCATGAGGGAACAACCTGGGATTCATCAAACGACCCAACTCTTGGCAGGTAATAGCAAAATGTACCTCACGAAGCTCAAATGTGCCATTCGCCAAGGCAAGAGCAAGAATTAAAACACACCGTATCTTCCAAAAAAACCAAAAGTGGCCTTTTCTGAAGGATTTGTCACTATGTGGGACAGCACCTGACAGCACAGCATCCCCAGTATGTGCCAAGCCCACAGAATTCCAGGGAAAAGTCTAGACCATCTAGAGAAAATCTGAGACTTCAATGCCAGTGAAGGCACCAGTAGAAACCCTTTGACCTGAAGATCACCAGGCCTACCTAGGGTCACACACAATCAGCCAAGGGTCCAAGGGGAACGTTTCACTATGCCATGTGAAGTAGGAGCCAACTAGCTGGGTGTAAAAAGCCACAGGACCTCAACAAGGTACTGGAAGTAGAGCCACTGGGCACCACTCTGAAATGGAGACATCAACTGAGCTACCTGCATCCACCGTAGCAGCAAATACAAGTGTCCTGAAGCCGACCCACATAGACAGCACTTGGCAGCCTCACTGGGGCCAAGAACTATCCCTGGGAAAATAGTGATTCTCATTTGAGCAAACGCAGACAGTACATCTCATTGAATCGCACACCAACCTGTCCCTTCCTGGACAAGGAATCAGAAACTACAGAGACACCCTGGCCAGGTAGCTCAGTTGGTTACAGCATTGTCTCTTGATACACCACACTTAAATGTTCAATCTCCAGTCAGGACGCATCTAAGAATCAACCTATGAAGGCTTCAACGAGTGGAACAACAAATCAGTGTCTCTCTCTCTCTCCCCCCTCCTTCCTGCTCCTCCTCCCTCTCTACATTTAATAATTTAAAAAATTTAAGAAGGAAGAAGAAACTAAAGTCTTCACTGCTTGGAACACAGCACAGCCCATGGCTGGTCAGCATGCATGGGGGCGTAGTGGGTGTGTTACAAACAGGGAGATCCAGCTGCAGCATCGTGCCCTAATTATCTGCAACAGGCCGCAAACTGCTTGGAGGAGTCAAAAATGCCTGGACTCCAATGAGAAGTCAGGCCATCGGGAGATAATTCTGAAGAAGAAACCTGGCCAACACAGACCCAGGTAACTGGGCCAAGGCCAATGCCACACTCTCTAAGGCCTATGACTAAAATGCTACGAGGGCCACCATGTCAACAAAGGCTGGATGTTCCCACAAGAACCTGCCGATCATGGACACCCCACAATAGGGGAGAACACACTGACTCTCACAAGGATGAGCTCAAAAGCTGACGTCCTGGGTGGTGTTTGCAACAGTGTGTGATGAAAAGTAAGCTGTCCCTCACTCTCACTGTCCCTGGGCACTGAACGTGCTGGACCTCAGCTCCGATGAGAATGACGGTTGGAGTTCTCACTCATTTTGTTCAGATTTCCAAGGAATGCAGTGTGAGGGGGTCATCATCGATCCGAGCACGTTCTGGGATGTTGGAAATTTAGCAAGGCCGGTAGGGTGGCTCATTGAGCCATGAGCTCAGCATCCTCTGGTGCCCTATAGGATCCAGATCCCAGCCACTGAGCAAGAGGGACACGCAGTCACTCTTGGAGGGGAGCCCCATGTGCCTTTCAGGACACCCGAACAAACCACCTCAGGCAGCTCTAAAAAATTGAAAAGCTAATAACTAGACATGGAGCACAGGAACTCTTACCTTCGTAATTAAGCCCCAGGCAGGGGGCTCACTCAGGGTCACACCTCCTCAGGGACTCCGGGGGACC